TTTAGTAATAGAAAACCGATCAATTACAGTCTGTACGGTTGAACGTGGTCTATTGACAAATTTTGCAATTTCACATAATGATTTGCATTGATTATGCAAATTAATAATTATTTTTCTCTCCTCTTCACTCGTTTCTTTTGCTTTACGACCCATTTTTGTAACTAAACACGTCTATACTTGTCACGAGTGCAACTAAAACGTCTAATATCTATACCTACGTATTAAAAATGACCTTGGCATTGTAGGCATATGAAAAATTCGATTGAATAAATGATTTATACAGAATTTTATTTAAAAAAGCATGAATGTACGAATACTTTTTGTTTGTCATTATTTGCTTAGTTAACATAAAAATATTTTTATGTTGTATAATTTTTTTTTTTAAAAACAATAATTATCATAAACAAAGTGCGGGAATGTTAAACTATTTAACAGTATTGATTTAAATTAAATAAATAGAGGAAAGTCTATCAAATTCGTATTTTTTTTATTATAACCCTAGGTGTACGAATACTTTTTACACTCACTGTATATATATGGTGGGTTCGAAAGTCGCTCAGTTTAATTTAGTTTGTTATCAAAAGAAAAATTCAATTACATAAAAATATCAAATAAATTAAATACAGTATCCAATTAAATATCTTTATTTCAAGTCAATCGAGAAAAGGCGCTTACTATAAAACTTTCAAGAAACTTAATTAAATTCGAGAGAAGGCATTAGGCTCAAGTTGAGTCACATTGCAGTCCAACATTTTTGGCGAATTGCGAACGTGTCACTTTATCAAATTTTGCGTTTACTAATAACGGTGATAATCGACAATATTTCTAATTATCTGTTAAAATAACTGGAAGAAATACCTTTAGTTATATTGTCTTTTTTTATTTGCCACATCACATCTTTTTACATTATAGGTTACTTCTTAGGATATGTGAATGAAATAGAAACCTCGCTTGCGGGTTACCGGTGAGCGATGATTACTTGTGGATGAAATCATATCACTTGGATTTTCGTGTCAAAACTTTCTAAAAATTTACTAGGATGATTCCCAGAATGTCTGACCTCCTGAAGGTCAATCCGTCAACCTGAGGGATGCAAAACTGAAGAAAGAAGAAGAACGATCATTGGAAGTCATACATAAATAATTATTTATTAAATAATGTTATAAATTAACCAATACCCCATGTGGGATTACTATCTGGACCATGTTTATTTATTTCTTTGTTCAAAACCAAGTAACAAGCATTTAAACTCGTACATATTCCGTTTTCCCTTAACTCAAGTACTAGATAAAATAGTCTGTTTAAATAAATAAAGCACCTATAAATGTTATTTACTATTTGTTCAAGTAACACGATTGCAATATCTTGAATATTTTACGTGAAAAGGGAATTTTATACATATTATTAGTTCTAAAGGTGATCATTACTTACAAGATTGTAAATTCAAAGAAAGGTCTGCTTTAAAGCAATGCAGTACACGTTCTATCTATCATTAGTACTATAAATTTAGAGATCTAAATATAATTAAAATATACATATATATATTTTTTATATCTTTCTAATAGTCATCCGACTATTTATGGACGCATCTACGAAATTAAGCCGATTTTAATTAATTTTATTGTGCAGCTAATAGGTATGTTATTACTTATACAAATTTAAGGTTACATTTTAATTATTTGAGCTCTCCGTTTTATGCAGTTCAATACAGATCGGAGATCAAGTTTTTCTGGTAATTTAAGCATAGCCATAGATTATATTTAGTATTAGATTTATTAGTAAAATAAATAACTTACGGGCCTTTGGTATTTGAAATATGTACTAGTTATAAAAAAAGTAATAAAGTCTATAAACAAAAATGTTCCCAAGAAAGTGAATTTCAATTTACTAATAGTATTTCTGGTATTCTTTTAAATTGGATAAGGATTGCAATTATTTAGCGATATACTAAAAAGGCGGCAGATAGCAAAGCAAATACCTTATACAGCTTTCGTAGCCTATATAACGTCAATTTATTTGATTCTCTGTACCATTGCAATGAGCAACAAGTTTATAATAAATTTCAATCAGGAAATTTAATTTGCAAATAGTTTGGACGTCGCTCGTTTTAATTGAGATAAAAACGAAGATTCATCTTTTACTGAATACGAGTAAGAGAATTTATGTCGCAATACTTTCAATTTAAATCTTAAGGATCTTAAAAAGAGCAATAGAATTCAAATAAAAATATTTTAAATTTTCACTGCCTGTTGTGTTAAAAAAAGTTAATGTATTTCTATACTATATTACGCAAAAACAACTGTGCTAAATGTAATGCTGTTTTCACAGTTGTGTACTTGAAGGTCAAACTTAAATTTTGGTTTATGCTTTATCGTATTACGCCATCTAGAAGTGGTAACATACTTGCAAAATCATTCCTACATATAGAAAAATTGCGAGCAGAAGTTAGTGATATAAGGTAAATACCTATTTGTAGTAGTGTCGTGTAATTCGTCTGGGTAGATAATTTCGTTTTTAAGTAAGAATGGGAATTTTCGACATCGGCAGACTGTCGTATGGTCGAATTAATTTTTTTTATGCAACTTAGAATAGCAAACCAGCTATTACCAGAGTTATAAACCAGAAATGAACCAGTCTATCCGTGAGATCTCTAGCCTGATGTCGATAATTAGACATAATGAATGCTGGCAAAATTCCCCAAGGGGGAGTCCTATGTTCAACAGAAGATAGTTATGATGAATAGGATAGAAAAAAATAATAATTGGAGAACAAATACGTCATCTTCCAAAAAATAGACTTTAATCATAGTAGACTTACTGATAATTGAGGAGAAAATAGAGAATGAATTAAATTAAAATATTTGAATTTAGAACATTAATTTTTTTTCTTTACTGTCTTTATTGTTTTTTTTTTATTATGAAATTCTCTAGCTGTTGCTTTTTTTTTTAATAAAAAAAAACATAAATCATATTTTAATACTATGAATTTTCTTCGGGACAAGGAGTTTCCCAAAACGGTAATTTCAATTATTAAGAAATGAACATGTAACCATTATTTATATTTTGTTTTAGTAAATCCTATAAAATAGAAAAGAAAGCCATCCGTGTGCCGAAATATTTTCACTGACCGCGATAACAAGTAGCCTATGTCCTTTTCCATGCCATATATTATATATGTACCAAATTTCATGGTAACTGTTTAAGCCATTAAGAAGCGAAGACGCAACAAACAAACTTACTTTCACACTTATAATATTAGTAAGGATTTTGAATCGTCTGCGCTTCTGAATTGTATGTGTTTCAGCTTGGTTTACCCGTTATGAATAACTATATATTATAATATCTAATAGCCAACGATATTATAGGTATTGATACAGCCAACTTGAATAGGCGAGCCCTCGAGGGATGACCACTTAGTTGCAGTAAAGATCTTTAGTTCATCCGGTTTCTTAGTTATCCAGCATCAAGGTGTTGTTTCACTAACAACGGTCTGTATTATTTATAAGTACCCGTTTCACTTTCTATGTCAACACGCTTACAATAATGTCTCTTGAACTTCTTGTCCTCTCTACTATAATCTAGATAATCATTTTACTTTATATGTTAATTTCTATTCTGCCTTTGACGATCTTACACTGCGCATTTTCTCATTACAAACCTAGTATGGGTAATGTCTGTATTTTTTTTATACAACTTAGAATGGCAAACAAGCTGACGGCCCACCTGATGTAAAGTGGTAACCGTCGCCTATAGACATGAGCAGTACTATGGACATAACAGAGTATACTGTTTCGCCCATGATACCCCCCATGCGTTGCCATTCCTGAGGACTCAGGTGTTATTCCTCTGTACCCAGTAAATTCACGCCATATCCCACCTTTCAAACCGAATGACAGCCATGCAAACACAACTGTTTCACGGTTGAAACACGAATGGGACAGATGTACCCAAGCAATCGACTTTTGTACAAAGTCTCCCTCTGGGAGAATTGTATTGCTTTGATATCTATACATTGGAGTTTTCCGGACATTAATGGTGGAAAAAGAGATTTTATATCGCCCATACCAGTCGAATATCTATATTTAATTCATTCAGACGCCTTTTTGATATTATATGTTAGATTACCAATAATTAATATATTCCTTATTGAGCCAATATAAAGATATTGTACCTACTATATACAGATATTGTTTGTTATCACTCTTTTTACTTGGTGCAATAAAGTGTAAATAAATAAATAAATATTGCTGTATAATACTCATTCTTATACATATATCATACAGATTTTGTTATTTTTCGGTGGAGAAAAGAAATTTATATATCATATTTATATATTACTGGCTGTATCCCGCGACGTTACCTGCCCTTGTGAATCAGCTATATATATCATCCTGTATGCTAAATTAGGATATAACCTACCCGTGTACCAAATTTCATACAAATTCGTTTAGTAATTCTTGCGTGAAAGAGTAACAAATATCCATCCATTTATCATTACATTTAGCAATTTACTCCATAATTGCGAATTGGTATCTTAACATGCGAATAATATTTCTATTATAAAAATGTAAAAATTTTCAATAATTGTAACGTGATTCTAGGGTAGGATTTAAACCTTGCTCCTTTTACGCAAGGGTATACTACTTTTTGTTAATATAAAAAAAATACTCATATATGTTCAGCAGTATAAAATGACGTCATATGAAATAGTATACCGTTACATATGCTAAGTACATATTATTCAAGTACATACATATATCAGTAGAGTTACATCATAATTGATATCATAAAACTGTTAGTATAATTCTGTAACTCCGTTAATTTATTAACATACATATAGCTTTATTATGATAATATATAAATCTCGTCGGTAGCCACTTCCGAGGTTTTACAGCGCGTTTTATAGACAGGTACCATTATTTGAGCATCTTGATAGTAAAGCTCAACCCTAAACCGCATCTTCCCTACGGACGCGGTCATAAACGGCGAAAGTGCACGCACCCTGCACACGGGCGTATAAACGCATGCGTTGCACGCCGCGCGCCATTCGCGAATCGAGCACGCAGTGGCGCGCGCGCACGCCGCATAACCGCAACGTGAACTCAGGTGCGCGAAAAAAGTGCATAGTGATTTATAATTCGAATATTGTGACCATAGATAATTCCGTACTTTCTACGGGAGTGATTACGAGTTTGTTTTTCATTACGGTGAGTATTTTTTTTTATTATTTTAATACACATTAAATAATAATTTAAATTTAAAAAATATTTTTGGATATCCTTTTGTAGGATATAATTATTAACCACAAATTTAAAATTATTTTAAGGATAAAATTAGGAAAATAAAAAAATTCAATAAAGTAATTAATTCATTTTCCATAGTATATTTATTTTTAAAATCAAATGCAAAAAATTTAACTACCTGAAATTAATGAGTAATTAAATAAGCTAATTTAAGTTTTAAAATTTTCATAAACTTCATAATAAAATAGTTCTTACATTCTTGCTTTAACGAGTCGTCATATCATAAAGTTCAGAGATGCAAATTCCAATTCCATATAATATCTAAGTGTATGTACAAACATACGTGTAGCTTCACAAATAAAATTATTATCTTGAGATTAAATTACAAAATACGTATTCATTAAAAAAATACAACTAAATACTAAATAAGGACGGTATCATCATCGTTATTTAGTATTTTTTTTAAAAGTAGTATTATTTTTAGTATTATTAGTTACTAAATAACTACGACGTGTAGCATATGACAACAAAAATATGTTCGCTATTTAATATTCACCACAGGAACCAATTACAGTTACTAATGCAGTAACTCTGTAATTTTGCTTGTTTTATGACTACTAAAGATGCGAGGCAAAGAATTATTAAATTTGCATCAACTTGCATAATAATACGTTAGTTCTATCCTTACTTTAGCATTAGTAATGTAGCCGTAACAAAAATTCAGTTAAATTCAATCCGCTGACAGATCTAGTTGTAAAACTAATTGTTTATTTTTTCAGCGACAGTTATAAATTTCTTTTTGTCACTAACATTTCGCGACAATGGTAATAAAAAAAAAAAAAAAAAAAAAACTAGTCACCCACTCAGATTTTATGACAAAGCATTAAACTCGAGAAAACGTAACGGCTTGTCAAAAAAAGCAATCTCATCTTTTGACTAATCGGCCACCAAACCAGCGGGCGGACGTGTCAATTAGAGTAATAACATTACAAACGATTATCTTTGCTATTTTAATGAAAATATGATTTCGAATCAATTACTCTACATTCGTGGACGATACCGTTTGGACGTTAATCGATTAAGAGAATCATTTTACGCACGTTTCCGTGAAAGTGCCAGACGATTGGGTGCGAACTTTGAATGTAGAAAGTGATTACCTATTCGGAGTACCGTGTTATGCATAAAACTAGGAATTGTAACAGAAACATGAATTCGAGTAACATAATTGTTATCTTTCAATTAGCAATTTTTCCGGCTTGTTTTCATATCTATATGGACAGAATGCCTCATTACCTACTTACAATTTAGTTTTGGAGAGCAATATCTGAATTTGTTATAATTAACTAAGCTATCAACACGCAGCATAATCCACTGCATAGTTTTTGAAACTTAACTTTTTTCATATAGGATTCCGAATGATGTTGAACTGTAAAGTTTTTTGATAACTGATTTCACTGATTTCTTTCATAAGGTGAAAATATTTACTATTTATTATTTATTTATTTTTTTATTTATAACGATATAGTCATTAAGTACAAAATTATATTCAAGACTATTCGTCTCAGCTTTGCACGAGTAAACAGAATTATCCAAAATAATATAAAACTTATGTTACTAGCTGATAATGAAGTTTTCTATAGGTAAAATTTTTTAAAAAAAATTGTGTTTTTTTTTTTTGATAGATAGATATTCTTTATTGTTTCCTCCAAATCAATCATCAATTACAAACAAATAATCAAGTCTTTCCTCTTTGTAATATTAAGTATGGATAAAGATATATCTTAAATACAATTTTATTGAAACATAAATGTAGTCTAGGTACCGGTTTTCTTGTCTCTGTTTAAAATATGTATATTTCTCTAATACAATTATGGGTATCAATAATCTATTTATACTCGTATTAAATTTAATATCACAATTTCCTGTTAATCAATTAACTTAATTGTTAATATAAATAGTAATAGCTATGTTAATTAATTTTAGCGCCTCTTAAATATAATATGAAAGGCATTAATAGAAATATAGCGTAATGATGATAAAGTGTACGACTGTATTTTAGGGTTCCGTATCTCATCATGTAGTGTAAGGAGAACTTTAAATAGTAGAGTTTTGGTAATAAACAATCGTATAATATGATATATAACTTAAGATCCAGGTCGATCAGACAGATTTAGATTAAAAATGCTCTTAAATAGTTTATTATATTAAACAAAAGTGGAAAATGGTGAAAAAGAGCGAGTCCAAAACAGCGAGTTGGAATATAGTCATTTATAATATATTTCTTTTTTATAATAATTGAAATATAATACTAAAATAGGTTTAATTGTGAAATAAAACAAAACTGTGTCTTTTATAAAACATTTTATACTATTATATTATTATATATTGTAAAAACATTTTATACCCAAAAAATTGTAGACATGTCTTATTTGTATAGAATTGATTTTTATTCCATCCTAGTCTATTTATACACTATTTAGTTATTACATACAGTATAATTTTGCAGTATCTGTCACTCGTTATATAAATGGATACAATTAATTAATGCAAATATTAACAATTCCGCTTTACAACAATTTTAGATGTAAATTCTTTTAAACAATCCTTGGTTACAAGTTACGAAATTTGAAATATGTTGCAAAATAGAAATCGATAGTTAACAGTATTTTTATTCTGTTATATATTATTTTATAATATCAATATATTATGTATTTGTCACCTTTTATGGATAGTGATGTCATATTAATATTGTATATTAAGATTCGAGTAGCGTGTAATTTACTTATTACCTACAGGATAAAATTAAAATTATTAAAATATATTAATATCTTATAAAAGTGTACTCTAAAATTAAATAATATATTTTATGCAAAGAATTAAAAATAAAAAAAAGTATTGTTTGTTTTTTATAGAACAGCTGGTAGCGCCATGTTGATATGGAAGGTTCAAAGTTTTTTAACGTAAATTGATATGTAAATGTATGTCAAAAATTTTGTTGTATAATTTTAAGCATTGAATTTATTTTATAAATGCATTTGTGTTTTTTTTATATAACCTAAAATGGCATACAAGGTGACGACCCACCTGATGGAAAGTGATAACCGTCACCTATAGATATGAACTTGACTCTGACTGTGTTCCGGTTTAAATGGTGAGTACGGATATGTCAGTGAAATTACAGAATAAAAATCTATATTTATTTGGTTTTCAAGAATGGCAAGGTATGAAAATGTTAAGGATTTTAAAGTGTCATATTTCTAAGTGACAGTTACCATTTGCAATCAGGTGAACCACCATCTTATTTCCATTTTTTTTATACAACTTAGAATGGCAAACAAGCTGATGGCCCACCTGATGGCTTTAACCGTCGCCTATAGACATGAACAGTACCATGGACATAACAGAGTATTCTGTTTCGCCCATGATACCCCCCATGCGTTGCCATTCCTGAGGACTCAGGTGTTATTCCTCTGTACCCAGTAAATTCAGGCCATATCCCACCCTTCAAACTGAAACACAGCCATGCAAACACAACTTCTTCACGATTGAAACATGAATCGGACAGAAGTATCCAAGCAATCGACTTTTGTACAAAGTCTCCCTCTTTCATATATCATAAAACCTATATATAGATATTTAATAGCACAACACAATATGAACAAATTAAAAACTGAGGAATAAGAAAAAAAAAAAAACAAAACTGTATAGTCTCTAACATTATAATATTGTGCTACCATTCTCTGTCTGCATACCGGATAGAATATACTGATGTCTGAAAACATACAATTCATGACAGCTCTGTTATTTACTGCACCAACTAACGTAATCATTATACAACCCTTTCTTTGTGAAATCAGTATCTATCATATGAGCGTGCGAATTTATAAATGTTCAGATATCTTCATAAATGTCGGAGTCTGGCGCCCGATAATTGTATAGAATCAATCATATTATGAGATTGATATTACCGACGGATTAATCGTATCGCTTAATGTCAGCGACCACTATGATTTAAGTCACCTCACTTATTACTCGAGCCTTCATAAATGTTTTCAATTGTGGGTAGGAATATGGTACGGTAGGAATATGTGTATGTTTTAAATTGGAGGGCATTGCCTCGGTAATATTGCTTTAAAAATAAATATTATTGCATATATGGAATAATAATATTATTATTTTTATTGAATTTAATTACCTTGGTGTCTCAAAATAGTTTGATAGGTACTTTTATCTATAGCTGGATTTGAAAACAAACACTAAATGTCTTTTATATGATTAGTAGATATTTTGTCTAATGGAATTGAGAAATTGTAGAGAAAATTAAACATAATATAGATAAATATTATATTAAAAGAATAATTATTTAATAAAAACCAATAATTAGGTTCTATACGTGAACATGGTGCTCATTTAATACACTTAAACCTCATTGCTTACTTTAAAGTGAGTTTTAAAAATATAGTTTTTTTTACTACTATATCCAAAAACAAAATCGACGATAAAAAAAGGTCTAACTGTATATAAGCCATCATCTTCTTCGTATACAAAATAGCTTGATTCACTAAATAATAGTTTTATGTATTCAGAACGAAGAAAGTTACAATTATTTTTCAAATTATACTGAATTTTAAGTAATTAAAAAGGTTGGGTTTGGAATTCGATCTGAGAAACTTGTCATAGAACGCAGATTGAACTGTTTTACTGACTGAACTGTAACAACATCTAGCAGTAGCTGGAGTAAATTCACCTTGACGGTTTCTCACTTTTCGTTTTAATAATAAATTATAATACGAATATATGAGATGTATTTATTCTGTGGAATAAATTAAACTTAGGAGTTTAAATTAATTAAACTGTTTTAATTTAATTAGATTCTGTTTTAAAGTTACCTCAAATCCTTGTATGGTTCTAATACAATGTACAAAAAAAAACTCATACACATTTTCGTGTGTACAGACATCATC